GTTTTTTGGGGGGGTTTAAGAAGAATAAGTCATCAGAATGTTTCTTTTCTTTATCTGAATCTATTTTCAAGGTGCTGGATGAGCTGCAGCGAATCATCCAACCGACCAACTCCCAGTACGTATCAGAGATGCAGAACAGATGGAAAACCTTCCATTCAAAGGTCCAGTTTTATGGAAAACTTTGAATGGAGGTGAAGTCACAATACATTGACTTCATTTTATATAATAATGTCTGGTAATTATTTGTTAAAGTTATTTATGGTATCACCTTGTATTGTCCCTTTTCCATTAAAGCAGTGGAGCATATCACAGCTGTCTTCAGAGCCCTTCCACTGCTCTTTCCGTCCAGCACTTTGCCACCGAAGAAACTGGGCTCAAGCAGCGAGACTCTTTTCCATGTCTTAGCGGTGAGATTTACATCCATCCATCCATCCATTGTCAAACCGCTTATCCTGCACACAGGGTCGCGGGGGGGCTGGAGTCCATCCCAGCCAACTTCGGGTGATAGACAGGGTACATCCTGGATTGGTCGCCAGCCAATCGCAGGGCCACACAGAGACACACAACCATTCACACGCATTTAGAGTCCCCAATTAACCTGATCCCCAGAGCATGTCTTTGGACTGTGGGAGGAAGCCGGAGAACCCGGAGAGAACCCACGCAGACACGGGGAGAACATGCAGACTCCACACAGAAAGGCCACTGGGTGGAATCGAACCCAGGACCTTCTTGCTGTGAGGCAACAGTGCTAACCACCACGCCACCGTGCCGCCCTGTGAGATTTACAGACTTAGTGAAACATTTCATAATATATGTTAGTGTTTCAGGCATACATCTTTTATTACGTAGGTTTAGTTACTTTGAGATAAACTTTTATCATTTCAAAAGCTCCAAAGGGTAAGTGTTTTCCATAGTGTACTTAATGTAGTACTAACTTCGATGGAACTAGCTGTGCATTCAGCATTTGCAGTGGGCTTTTCCCCCGTCAGCCTTTGGCTCCACAGCTCCAGGAGCCTCCTCGCCAACCGGACCGAATGCAGCCCAAGCAGTGAGCCCAGGGCCGGGGCGTCGCTCAGCATCGGCCCCACTGCGTCCACCGGCTGCTGCAGGCACAATGTTTTTGTTTTTCGCAGCGCCCCCGTCAGGCCAGGGGTGACGCTGCTGCTGACGTCCAGCTTGGCCCTGCAAATCAATGATTCTCTCAACAACCAGTACAAAGAGTTAGACAGTGGACACCTTTTTTGAATAAAAAGGGCCCAAGACTTAAAAACGCCCTGATAAAACGGAGGCAGCCCTTTTATATTAAAATTTTGGGATCCATTAAAAACAGAGCAGTATCCAGCCCCAGGTTGTCTGTACGTCTGAGGATGCAACTGGCCACATCTCGCCACACTAAACCCTCCGGACATGGTATTTTTTCAAAAACTGTAACCTAAAAGTGGCCGTCCGGCTGGCCAAGTGGACAAGGACCTGTCCCCCCTCCTCTCTGGCTAAAAACAGCATCCCTTGTGGCACCCAGTGTAGACCCTCCCAAAAGAAATCTACCATCTTTCGCTGTATGTGGGCTACAAACGCCGAGGGAGGATCTAGGCAGGTTAAGCGGTGCCACAAATGAGATGCAATGAGATTGTTTAAAACCAACACTCTACCTTTAAAAGACATCTGAGGGAACAGCCATTTCCATTTTGCAAGTTTTCCCTCTATCTTCTCTGTGACGCCCTCCCAGTTCTTTTGGACAATGTCTCTTTGTCCCAGATAGATCCCCAGGTATTTAAAACCGTCTTTTCTCCAAACTAAACTTTGGGGAAGAACCGGGAGGCCGTCACGCCATTTACCGGCAGCAAAGGCTTCGCTTTTCCTCCAGTTCACCCTCGCTGCCGATGCCTTGCTAAAATCCTCCACCACGCTGTTTAAAAGGTCTGCATCCCTCTGGTCCTTAATAAAAACAACATCATCTGCATAAGCTGATAAAATCATGTTCCTACTAAAACCAGGTAAAACCAGGCCCTCCAGGCTAGAGCGTATTCTGCTGAGAAGGGGTTCCAGGGAGAGTGCATAGAGCATTCCGGACAGAGCACAACCCTGCCGGACTCCTCTAAACACCCTAAAAGGAGCACACAGACTACCGTTTATCTTCAGCACACTCTCAACCTCGCTGTACAACACTTTGATCTTAGCTATGAAACCAGCGCTGAACCCAAACTTCCCCATGACCTTCCAGAGGAAGCTGTGCTCAACGCAGTCAAAAGCCTTTTCCTGGTCTAGAGAAATCAGACCAGTATTAATGCCTAACGAGCTGGAGACCTCCAAAACATCACGAATGAGGTAGACATTGTCTACCATGGACCTGCCAGGCACACAGTAGGTCTTGTCCCGATGGATGACCTGCTCCATAGTTTCCCTCAGCCTGGAGGCAAAGACCCTGGACAGAAGCTTGTAATCCACGCACAGTAGAGACACAGGGTGCCAGTTGCCGATGTCCTGCAGGTTCCCCTTCTTCGGCATTAGTGTTATCACCGCTCTGCGGCAGGACATCGGCATGGAACCAGAGGCCAGACTCTCATTAAAAACCTCCAGGATATCAGGCCGTCGATGCCAGGAGCACGCCGTCCCTGCATGCCCTGCAAGGCGGCCTTCAGCTCCTGCACCGTTATGGGTCGGTTGAGCGCTTTGTTCGTCTCCTCAGAGACTTGGTAGAGGTAGTCCGCTCACAAACTCCTCCGTCAGTGCTTCCTCCTCCCTGTACTCACTGGTGTAGAGGGAAGAGTAAAAGCTGACCGCTCACCTCCTAATCTGGCATGGTTCCACCACCAGCAACCCTGTCTGCCAACAGCGTGTGGATCACCCCCCCCTGATCACTCTTCCTCTCCAGGCCGAAGAAAAAACTAGAGGGAGTGTCCATCTCCGTGATGGTCTGGAATCGGGACCTGACCAGTGCACCCTGAGCTTTAACGTCTAACAGGTCGGCCAGAGCCATTTTTTGGATCTTGAGGACTTCAAAATGTCCTCGCTCTCCTGTGGACTCGTTTAAACGCTCTAGTTCCACTATATCAGTCTCCAGGTCCTTCATAGATCTGGTGATGTCTCTGGTCACGTTGAAAGTGTGCTGCTGACAAAGAAGCCTAATCTCGATCTTACCGCGGTCCCACCACTGCCAAGACTACTAAAATCACTCTTCCTCAGCCTAAAAACACTCCAAAAATATGAAAGGGCCGCTCTAAAATTCTTATCAAATGTTAAAACGGAGTTAAAATGCCAGTATGCGCGCTTTTTGGCTAAATGTTCCTAATAAAACCATTACACACCAGCAGGGAATGATCTGAAAAAACAGCCGGTACAATGGTACACATTTTAAAAATATTAAAATGGTGCTTAAAAACATAAAACCGATCAAGCCTGGCTGAGGAGATTCTATCTTCTCTGAGGTGGGACCACGTGTACTGTCGGCAGTCTGCATGCATCCTTCTCCACACATCCACCAGGCCATGAGACCGGACCAGCTGCCTCAGAGCGTGCTGGGAAGCTGGATGTGGCTCTGCGTGGTTGCGGTCTATGGCCGCATCTTCTGTGCAGTTAAAATCCCCCCCCAAGAATAAAAAATCCTCCAGGGCACAGCCATCTAAAAGATCATTAACTTTTGTTAAAAAAAGCTTCCTCTCTGTACAGATTGTTGGAGCATACACATTGATAAAACAACAGTAAAAAGGTTGAATCGTGCCTTGACTAAAAACAACCTCCCCTCGATGATGTGTTTGACCTCCAGGGAGACTGGCTTAGAGGACCTGGAGAAGAGGAAGCCCACTCCTCCACTGAGGTTGGTGTTGTGGCTCAGCAGGACTTCCCCTTCCCACTCCCTCCTCCAGTCGGCCTCGTTGGTGCTGTCGCTGTGCGTCAACAACATCAAGACGTTTCATTTTTTTAAATTCATAAATAAGATGCCCTCTTCTTGGCATTTCTGGCTCCATTCACGTTCAGGCTTCCCACTTTTAAAGTATCCATGATACTTTAAATAGTATAGTATTGAATAAAAAAATGAAACACAAATAAAAACCAATAAATCAATTAAAACAGACATTGGGGCTTTTTTCGTGATCGTTGATTGCTCGTTTTGGTTTTAGCACAAGTTTTTTCAGTCTAATACCCTCTTGATCTGTGAAGCCAGACTCCTCTCGCTGGCTCACGCGGAGTCTGGCTGAGTTATAAAAACACACCAGTGTTTTCAGATTCCTCCTATTTTGACTTTCTGTAAAAACATTTTTATTTGAGTTTTTTCCCTTGGTCAGACAGGCGCTGTGGATGTCGCTGCTGTCCGACACGCAGCCCTCACTCTCACTGCCGTCAGATTGCCCCTGACCTCACCCACCAAAACACCCTCATTCACACCGTGCACATCTTCCATACTCACCCCGTGTAGGTCAGACACAGCAGCGCAACGGGCCGCAGATCCGCCACAGCCCGGCCAGGCGGAGCGGGTCCCCGCGCCTCGGGCAGGCACCCACGGTGTGCCCCTCCTCGCCGCAAACCGAAACATTTCATCGCCGACGATGATGCAAAAATCACGTACTCGTAATCTAATAATAATAATAATAATCTGCTCACAACATACGGACTTGTGACACAATATTTATGGACTTGCAGATCTGAAATTTCAGAGATATTTAGCTAGTGTAGAGCAAAAATAGGAGGGCGAGTCCAGTCAACAAAGTCAAATTTAAATTTAATTAAATCGTGACCTTTATTTTTTTAAATCAAAAGTCAATTCAAATCATGGTTTTCAAGAATTGCCACAGCCTAAAATTTCACGGTCAAAGAAAATGAATAAAATAAATGAACATGTGGCAGCACGAGATTACATAATCGCGACAATTTATGGCGATTTAACTACAGTGCCACCTTGTGGCAGAACAGGGACCAGCAACGCCACCCTGGGAATTTCACCCAGAGAATACTAACTAATAAGGTCACGCAGGTAAGTATCACAAAAGATGCCAAAGACGTGGTTCAATGTACAAAAAGGGGTTATAAGTTTATTACAATAAAATACGAGGATCCATAAAACAATTTAAAACACGCTCACAATTTCCACAACAAAAGGGGAATTAATGGGGGTTATAATGGTCAAAATAATAAACAAAATGATGAACGCTTACCAGTGGTTGTGGAGGCGACACGAGGGCAGCGGGGGAGGTTTCAAAATAGTGAGCACAGCAAAACAAATGAAAACGAAAGACCACAGCAAACAAGCAAAGGGACACCACCACCGGGACACCACACCACCACCTTCGGCGTTCAGCTCTAAAAAGAATAAAGAAACAACAAAACGTTAAACACGTGTACATACAACCGGGTTCACTCACCCGGGTATAAAGAAACAAAAATACAGAACAAACTAAACAATAAAGAAAACAAGATAACTCCGTCGACCCAATAAGTCACGGGGAAGGGAAAGATCGAACGTCACGCTAAAATTGTTCCTCCGGGTAAAGCCGTCCGAGCACAACGGTGTAGGCGGTCCGGCCCAAAACAATTGTGGCAACGCAGTCCAAAAAAACACATGTACGCAAACCGAGGTAGAAGGCGTATAGGCAAAACAGCAGCTAGTTGGACTGCTAACGGTGGCCAAGATCCTCCGGTACGACCGCCCAGTCCCAATTGAACAAGTTACTGTCGTCGCCGTGAAGGAGACAGCTCGGGCGATCACGCCGCTCGGCGAGCTTCGTGGCGGTCGCTCTGTGTTAGGGAGCTACGCGGCTCCGACAGCCGGGGATCTATGGGGATCACATACGAGATATAAAAGGCAGCTGACGGCAGTAGCGAGATAAAGTGCGCGGAGACAGCCAGTTCACCACCTTACCTGTAACAGCGCCGAACAACCATGCAGGGTGAATGACGCGGAAGACTGACACAGTTCCGTCACCTGGCCAAGAGGGCGATAGGGGGGAGGAGACTACTGTGGTTTGTTTATACCGGTCCCTGCGCTCTGTTTGGTCCCGCGGGCATCCGGTGATTAGGAGTCTACTCCTATTGCTACAATCACCAGTCCGGTCATTAATATGAGCTCAGCTTCCCCAATTAAGATCCACTGATCGCCAGTTCTCAAACTGTTTTCATTTTAAGGACCCCTAGTTTGATATGCAACGTAGAACCTAACATTAGCCGTTAGCTAACATTATCCGTTAGCTAACGTTAACATTAACCATTAGCTAATGTTAACATTAGTCGTTAGCTAACGTTAGCCATTAGCCGTTAACTTGGCCAACCATCCCATTTTCGACAGTCTGAATACAGGTCGGAGTTTATTTGTCAATTACTTGTTGGACAGACACCTAATTACCTAATCCCCACCTTCCATTATTATGATAATGTCAAAAGAATTTCATTCTTACCTCTTGTGCAGCAGCAGTGACCAACGCACTTCTCTCATCCCAGCGAAATTACGAATTGGCGCCATGATGCTGGTGCTGGTATGCTGGTCACCAGCATGAATGATGCTGGTATGCTGGTGACCAGCATGAATGATGCTGGTGCTGTTTAATAGGACTAAATGCTGAGGATTGCATTTTCTCATCAGGTTTGTATGCCGGACAAGTTCAATGTTGATATTATAAAAACAGTGCATGTTAGATCATTACATTACTCCATTGTCTTTTGTATGCTAGCATCTACCAAAAAGAGTCGGTCAGTCAGTTCAATATTTTAATTTACTGAATGGGACAGACACGTAATAAAGAGCATTGTTACAATATCCACACATTCAAAAAGAGCAACCAAATCAACTATTCGAAAATAACTTCCAATTGCAAGTTAAATTAGAAAACATCCCTTTTTTTTTTGTTTGTTTATATCCATAATTTTTTCCGTTATATATCGTCCAGCCTTTGACCATCTGGCCTGCAACTCCGTCTCTTCCAGGTTTCTTTGCTGGAGCCACTCCTTGAAGCAGACTGAAAAGAAATGTAGAGATTAACTTTAGTGTGTCTGCCACGTCAGAAAAAAAAACGTCTGACCTCCAACAAAGACTCTACAGCTCCTACTACACCCAGAATAACATACCTCTCAAAGTTTGTAGCTTCTTTGGGGTTAATGGCTGCCGGGTAGTTTTGGTGGTGGGGCACTCCTTTCCTGTAAGGCTCGTTTCCCCCAGGGTTTTAGAGCCCCAGATTGCCACTGCCAATTCTTTACCAAACAGTGAGTCCCGACGGACCCAGGCCTCTTTCCGAATCACCACCTTTTCTCCCAAGGTAATCTGAGTCCCAAGCTTGTAAGAAATCCTTAAATTAGAGGTGTCATACTAACCAATGCATACAGATGCAGAGTTGTTTACTTATATATACAGTGTCATTCTTTGTTTTTTGGCAATGTATAACTGAATATATTATAAAAAAGGGTACAAATATCATACCTGGTCTCCAACAGGCGATACAGATGGCACCTGTTCAGTCTCACGTCCTGTTTCTGCATCCACATTAGGGCATAAGGTAAACACAATTGCAGTTCTTTACCTACTTTTGCTCACTGTCTTTAGGAACTTCTACAATTTCACATTTACCAGTTTGGTAAATACAAGCCTATAGTTATTTTAAAGTATCTGTGAGTCATGTCTTTGTTGCAAGAAAGACAACAAATGTGACACACATAACATTAAAGATAACGCAGTGTACCTTGTTTTAAGAATCAGTTAAGAGTTCTCTTACAGCATCCCTCAATCTCCTGTCCAAATCAGTGTACTAAGATTATTCCAATGCACAGTATCCACATGTTACTCAAATATAAATGTATATGATTAGTTATATTAAATGTATATTATAAATTAGGACTTTATTTATAACAAAGGGCTTATGACTAGACATTATTATCAACTGTTACCGTTTGTGGTTGATGTGCTGCTCAACTTCCTCAGCAGCTGTTGCTGCAACTCAATATTGAGAGCACGGAGTGTTGAGTTCTCCACCTCAACAGCTGCTCTTCGCTTCTTCAGATCCTCTAACCTGTAACGGAAGGACATATATCGTGATATAATAATAAATAATGTAAGTGAAGGGAAGCTATGTGGCTATTTAAGACAAGACAGGTATCAATGCACCTGCACAGAGTTCATCCATATTTGGAAATCAGTAAAGGCCAAATATGGGTTGCATATGGTACTTATGTCATCTATAGTAAATATGGTATTGAGCACTCACATATAAATGGACACATATTTTTTGTGTAGTAAAATCAAAGTTAGGTTACATTAAAAATTGGACAAAAATTAACTCACTTGCTTCTCGTTTCCTGCAGTTGCAGGGACATCTCATTGAATTTATTTTGGTAGAGGTGTTTTTTTTGTTTTGCCTCTTCAAAAACTTTTTGTGGAACAACCCCACCATCATCGTCGTCATCACCATCCTCTTCTGAGAAATTATCACAGAGAATACGCTCCTTGATTTTTTTTGGGGGGGAGTTGGGCAGATTGGAGACTTTCTTTTCCGAATTTTCCTTTCATTAAGAATAGCGAGAAGGTTATTTTTTTTGCTTCTTCCACAGCTTTTGTTTGATTTCTCTGGAAGCATAGAAAAGAACGTCATAGAATAGGTGCCATTGTAATACAAAACATAGCCACAGAAACCAACAAACAACAAAGATAGTGATATACACACACACACAGGCCAATCATTTCTACACATAAACTGTACTTATATGTTGAAGACGACACTTTCCTACGCAACAATGTATACAATGTATTACTTGCAATGCATTGCTTTGACTTCCTCTTTTTCCGACGGAGGCGGCTGGCGAAGTCTCCTTCAGCAGACTCACGCGGACCCGCTTGCCCTTGGACAGCTCCTCCTCGATTTCCTGTCTGGACTCTGGAATAAATGACTGGATGTAAGTAACGTGCTGTATATAGCGTTACATGCCTGTATACTACTGAGTAACACACGAACCACATCAATGAAAGCTAGCAAATAGGTAATGTTAAAAGTTTATTGCAGGTTAGCTAATCGGTTTAGCAGTTGAACCATAATAACGTTAGCTTGGTTAGCTCAATCTTAGTAAACCATTTAAAGGCTACACAAGATGTGTGTGACCTAACGTTAACAGTTTAATGTGTGCACCTTAACTTACGTTGATGTTACCTAATTAACTTAGGTACAAGTTCGCTATTAGTATAACTTGCGCTTCAGGATCAGTATTTGGGCCTTGAAAAAACTACCCTGCCAGCGCACCCAGTAAACCTTTTTGACGTTGCAGCTGTCAAAATCTTTGATGTCGGACGAGGGAACGATTTCCTTACACCCGTCGTCGATATACTTCACATTGCGTTGTTTAGTCCGTTAATGTCCGTTAAACGATATCCAAGTATCAAACTTTGCGCGAGGGGATTTAAAGCGAACAACGGGAAGCGCGTGCCGAAAATAAGTCATTTGAATGTCTACTAAGACACATATGTGCTACCCCCTTGTTCTGTTTTTATAAGTGTCTTACCATATCAGGTTCTTTTAAGATGGCAAATAGTTGAAACTGCTTTGTAAATTTTAAAATCTACCTCAGGCTTTGGATTTCACTGACGCCCCCATAGAAGTGGACAGAATCAGTCCTCACCTGAGCACTACAGATGTGGAGGTAAGATGGTGATTTGCTCTTCAAATATGTGGTGTTATTTATATGTTATTTGACACTGCTCCTTACTACATAGAGTATGGTTGTTTCTGTTAACTTTCTGGTTGTGCAATCTCTTCTTCATCCTATGCAGACCACATCTCCATCTGGCCACTCTGAGCCTTCTCCGCACCATCTACCTCAGGCTTTGGAACTCACCAGTGACCACAATGAAGAGAACAGAAACTGTCGTCTCCTGAGCGCTGCGGGTGTTGAGGTTGGGAATCTACGTGCTCTTTTTCTTAATCTAAAATAAAAAGCTAATTTTTTCAATGTGCTTTGAAAATATATTTAGCATCCTATACAGGTCCTATCTCTGCTTCATAATCTTGATCCTAAGTTGATTAAATTGACACAGTGGACCAGGTTAGCTTTTCTAACAGCCATACTAGAGGGGCATTTCAAGATTTCCAATGAAACAAGTCTCATTTAAAAAAAAAGTTTCATATGTTAAAGACCTAGTTTAATCATCCATATTTTATTCCAACCAAGATATGTTTGAAATGATCAAAAAGGAAAATAAATATAATATAAATAACCTATAAAAAATCGTATTCATGGAGAAAGTATTTTCACAATTTCCTCCTTTTTTCATAATTATAGGAAACTCTCCCAAGAATACTGAAAACTAATATTAAATGGTCTTTAGCCATGGTCGAACTTCATACTAAAAAGTTGTGGAATAGCATCGTAAATAAACAAAATGTATTGATTTTGTAATATATCCAATGAAAAAGGAAATTACAATAACACGCTATGGATTTGTATTGATAGATGTACATGGCATGATACAGGCTCTGCTGCAGGGAGAGGGAGATTGTGTCTACTGTCTAAGCCAGATATACATCAATCTTTAAGAGCAGCTGAGATAGTCACTACAATGAGTGAAAAAATAACTAGTTCATCATGTGAGCTGGTTAGGTTAAGCTATCCCATTTGACTTTCTAGGCGGGTCTTACCTTAAATTGTACAATAATGTTTTCAAGTAAAATAATCAATGCATGAAACTTTCTCAGCTACACAAGGGTAAGTTTATTCCATAATACAAACTTCTTAAATTCATCATATGTTTAGGAAAACAGCCTGTCAAATGGATATTAGAGGTGAGCCAACATAGAAATAACCACAAAGAAATCAGATTTCTAGGTAGGCAATGTATTGTTTCCTTATGGACTTTGAAGCGGTGCTGTTTTATATGTAATTGGATTAATATCATAATTGTAGAAAGAACCTCCATGCTAACAGTCTGGTTACAAATTGTGCATTTACATCTGTGTACACATGAATGGAATACAAAAATAGAGTCACATATCTGAATGTTTTAACATAGCACTACCAGTGTTCAGCCCTGATGAATTCTCTTATGTTTGAAAGGGGACAGTAAGGGATTCAGAGAAGTTTATCTTCTTTTGCAGGAGAATGTCAGGTAGAGCTTAGTCTTAGCTATGCTGGGATGTACAGATATGGAGAAATAATTTTGTACCTGTGTTGTCCTTGTTGTAATGTACAGAATATCATTTGACTGCCAGATAAATGTCATCCAGACTGCCTGCCCCTTCAAAGGTGAAAATAAAACCTTTAAATACGGTATCACAAGCTCTATGTATTTTGTTTTTTTACTTTTAAACATCACTTGTTGCAAACTTAGTAGTATTCAGACATATTCATTAATCTAGTTAACTCATGAACTCTCACTGGCCTAAGAAGAGAGTACTCATTAGCAACCGTAATTTAGAAAACTTTCATAAATTTCTCAATCTAATTGTCCAAAATTATCCATATTGTCGAAAAATAATGCACAACAATACGTACCCACGATGTCTCTATGTTGTATATGATGATGAGATCAGGTTGGCTGGATCAACTCTGATAGAAAATATACAACTTCAGTGCCACTTTAGTTACTTCCTAATTATTGATCACATGGTAAAACGCTTCATGTTACTCTGTCCTCTAATTCTTAGAAAAGTGACCACAACCAAGACTCACAAGATTTCTTATGCACTAACTTCATTAAACAGAACCGTGCCACAAAAAATAAGAATTCACATTTTTTCTATAATGACTTAAAATTGATTGTTTTTTTATTTTTTTATCTTTGGAATAACTATTTTAAAATGTATGCTGGTCGACCAGTTTCACCAGCAAAGCCACCCTGGTGGACCAGCATCATTAATGAGTTCTTGCTGGTCGACCAGCTAAACCAGCACTGAACCAGCATAGACCAGCATAAACCAGCATGGAAAGAATGCTGGTCTATGCTGGTTTTTCTAGCAGGGGTAATAGTAATAACGGACTCTTTTATCACACATGAGGTAGGATTCTTGGAGTAACGTCACCGCATTGTGAATGCCACATTCAAGGGGCTACCGATTGTTTACTGGAATAGACTGGTTGAAGATTTGGTATGGAAGACTATCTGGACCTTACCAAACAAATATTTACTGGTAAATAAAGTAAAGGAAATACGTTTCAAAATATTACACAGGTACTACCCAGTAAATAATTTTCTTGTTAAATTTAAAAAAGATATTGATCTAAACTGTTCTTTTTGCAATACATTGATACTTATTTCATTTATTTTGGCATTGCGCTCATGTAAGGACATTTTGGAAAGATGCGTCTAGATGTGTCTACCACTAGCTATGCTACTTAGCTACACCTAGCTAATATGCCTACTGTACATGTTTGTGAGGGCAGGGTTTACCCAGACTAGCAGATGAGAAATGCATTTTCGGGATATTCATTTTATCCAATTAGTAGCACACAACCCTCGTCCTCCTCCTCTCCCAACCAGCCACCTGTGTTATATTGTGTATCCTGATAATAAGTATACAGTTTTCCTTTTGAGTTGGTTTTCTCCTGTTTTAAAGTAGATAGGTAAGACTGGTGTCATTATTTTTCTCCTTTGTTTTGGTAGGTCAGCGTCTTATTTCTAGCTAGGACCGTTTTTGTGTTTATTATATTGGGGATGGGCAACGGCGAAGCCGTTCTTTATTTACCCCAACATACATGGTTTACTCCACCTAGCTCTTTGCGTTAAATAGTAGATATATTTATTGAACAAAGTGTGTGTGGCTACTTGGGAGACGGGGAAGATTGGGCCTATCCACGTTGCACCCTAGGCACCCCTAGACTGGGGCGTAACTGTTTACTAAAGAGCTGATTAGATGTAAACCTCTATTACTGAATAAACGCTTTATCAGAATATAGAGTTTTACTTTTACAAAAAGTTCCACTGTATATTCCATCAACTTGGGTCTGTATTTATATAGTATTGGAGTGTCAAAATGACCAGACGAAAACCTGAAAAACGATGGAGAAGGACTGGTAATGAAGAAGACCCAAATAAACGACCAAGACGGGCTGCAAAATTGGTGAGTAGCCTGGCATAGTTGTGTTGCAGTACATTTGCAGCAGGTAGGATATTTAATGCCTTATTTTCCTCCCTGCAGCCACCAGTGTTCATGTGGAGACTGATCAGCAATATTTAGGTAACTTGTGAAATGTGTTGGTGTGTGTTTAATGTTCAAAAGCAGTGGTCTCAAACCGGTTCCACGGAGGGCCTAGTGTATGCAGGTTTTCTTTTACCTTGAACCAAACTGATTGAGTAGGTCACAAATTGCTTAAGATCTCCCCTCACCTGGTAGTCTAGGTCTTAATTGGGCACTAATTGAAGGGAATGACCAAAAACCTGCATACACTAGGCCCTCTGTGGAACCGGTTCGAGAACTCTGTTCAAAAGCCACACCCAGTCCCATGTGCAGAGGAGAGAGAGAGAGAGAGAGAGAGAGAGAGATCCTGAACAGAATTCGTTCTGATTAAGAATCACAGGCCTTGTAAGTAGATAGATTAGTAGATAGAATGCAGTCTACGGTTGGTCAAACCAAGCATGGCAAATAGCTTTCTCTTATTCTTCTCTTTTTCTTTTTTTTATCTTTTGAGTTTCTTACAAGAAGGTTTCTCACCCGAAATCTGTTTCAGACTGCTTAAACAGTGTACAGAAGTTGTTGTTTTTTTCCTCACATGCTGCATCATCTCCTATTGTATTGCATAAATATTGCAGTACTTTGTTTGGGTCATTAGAAGGTGAACAATTACAATGTCTATCTTGTGGGACCAGTGTGTCAGAAGAAAGATCCTCATCCTTCAGAGAGGTTCCAATTGATGCTCAAATAAGGTCATTGTTTGTCAAGCCAGGTTTTCAGGAGAAACTTAACTTTAGATTAAGCAGGAAGAAGACAGATCCTAACAACATTGAAGATATTTACGATGTAGACATTTACAAACAGCTTGTAGATGGGGGTGGTCCTCTTAGTGACCCTAAAAACATCTCACTTACTTGGAACACAGATGGGGTACCTATTTTCAAATCGGCCAAGTTTTCAGTGTGGCCTTTTTATTGTATCATCAATGAACTGAGTTTCATGGAACGCACAAAAAGAGAGAATATGATATTTGCTGGACTTTGGTATGGGGACTCAAAACCATCCATGGTTACATTCCTTAGACCACTAGGTGACACACTGAGTAAACTTGCAGATGATGGATTCACCTTTTGTGTGGTAAGTGTTCATGCATTTCCATTCCAACATAGAGATCCAAAAGGCCCACTGCGCACAAATGAAAAGTTTGCTCTTGATGTGAAAATCTCAAATGAGACCAAAACCCCTGTTAAAGGGGTGAAGGGTCTTTGTTGGCTTAGCAAAATAAATGTTATAACCTTATCAAAGGCACTGCCATAGATTACATGCACTCAGTCCTTCTTGGAGTAATGCGCCTTCTGTGGTTTTCTCCAGAGTTTTCTCGTCAGCCCATCAGCATGGCAAAAAATGCAAAGGAAATTGACAGGCGATTTCAGGATATCGCTCCTCCACTCGATATCCTCGATTAGTGACATCTCACAGAATGTTTTTTTAAAGCATCAGAATATCGGGATATTTTGATCTTCTATGGACCTGTTTTCCGTGGAATTCTTGCGACACTACTACAAGCACTTCCTTCTACTAAGTGAAGCCATTTTCATTTTGTTGATGGAATCCATATCAATTGAACAGATTGATCATGCAGAGAAACTATTGTGGAGCTTTGGTTCCCAAATGGCTAATCTATATGGTGAGCGGTACGAAACTGCAAATGTACACCTTCTTGTGCACCTAGCAGACAGTGTGAAGGCCCTTGGTCCATTATGGACTCATTCGTGTTTCCATTTTGAGGACAAG